TTGGAAGTGAGTGCGCACCCTGGGGGCTGGGCGATAGTTCCGAAGAAGCTATCCTATACAACCCTAATTGTCATTGTCCAATTTTTCCCCCTTTTTTGTTGTTGTAATTGCGTTCTTGGTTGTTTTCCTTAATTCCTTCATTGTTCTTGTCTTTCTAAACTGATCATTGAATTTCGGTGGCCCGTTGCTTTTTTCTTCTCTTTGTGGGCTTTTTTTCTTTGTAGATTTTGTAATGTTCGACGCTTCTGTTAGTCATAACATAGGTGAGCCTCAAGAGGCCATTGAATCGGATTCTCCTACCCAATCATCTCCTTTAGGCGAGCGCCCTACGCACACTCCTCTTGTTTCTCGTTCTTCTTCCCTAACTCCCATACAAACGGTTATGCCTTTTGACTGTCCCCCCGCTGCAAGCGGGACAGCACCTGTTGCGACTCCTACTACTGCATCTGGGTCAGGAAGTAGTCGTCCCGCTAAGGGTAGTGTTTTTGCCCTTTTTAGCGCAAGCCTCGTCCTGATTTCTTTGATCCCTACTGTGAGCGGGTGCTTTTTAAGGATGGGATTCCTTTGTCCCACCTCACCCATTTAAGACTGCGCGCAATGCGACATAAGATGGTAGCCGATGCCGTTAAGGCTAATCCTCCTGACGTGTCTCTTGTTAATCCCATTCCCCACGTTCGGCCCCTAAATAGTTTTGCTTGGCTTGATGACATGGCTGATATGAATCGGATTTATCATTATGTAGTGCCGGGTGGCAGCGTTGAGACTTCATCACCCTCTCCCTCTCCAGCTGTCCAATCGGGCAGGTTGACTGAGTTACCGGGTGATCGTTCTCTTTTCCATTGCTAACCTAGTTCTGTTGCGGAGCCTGTAGAGGAAGACAAGACTGAGTTCTTTCTAGATGACAAGTGATATGGGCCCAAGAAGTGCGTGTTGGATTCCAGCTGGCGCAAGGACGCCAAAAAGTTGAACCTTTCTTTTATTAGGCAGAAGTTTTATGGTTTTAGTGAGAGCTATAGTTGATCTTGCCCTCTGATGGTGCAAAGCTATCTGCTCCCCTTGATAGGCATATTGTCGTGTTTGCATCTCAAGTGGATTTGGGTCTAAGGTTTCCCCTTGACCCTACTCTGGAGAAGGTGTTCCGTGCTTTCAATATTTGCATATCCTTGCTGCATCCGGCTTCTCTTCAAACTTTGATTTGCCTACTATGGTTCCTCCGGTTTCGGAGGTACCCTGAGTCCCTGCACCTGTTCATGTCCTTAATCAGCCTGTAGAGGTCTGCTTCTGGGATAGATTCTGGGTGGTACTACATTGCTCCCAAGAAGGGCAGGGTTCTGTCTTACCCAAAGCTTGGTCGCTTCAGGGATTGGACTGGAAATTTTTCTTGGTGAAGGTGCCCTCTTCTTTTGCTGCGCCACGCAATTTCAGGGAGATTCGTACTAACGTGGCTGGGGTTACTGTTTCCTCCTACGAGTCTGCCCGGGAGATGGAAGGCTTCGATGCCATGCAGGGAGCAGGGAATGGTGACTCAAAGTTTCCTAAGATTTGGCTGCCCAACTCTATATACATTGTGGGAAACGAGCAGCTCTCTACCATGCTTTTGTGTTATACGGATGAGGCTGGTAAGCTTTTGGCCTTCTTTTATTCCGTTTCTTCTTTTTTCTTCTTTGCTTTGTTCCTTATGTTATTTATTTTCTTGTTTTCTCCTTTTCAGGTTATGACAAGTTGGACAAGCGCATCCTTGGGCTGGCTGAAAATTGGAGGGACCCTTTGACTGCTACTCATGACAATCCTCCTAAGCTCTTCGACACACTGGAGGTGTATGCTGGCTCTTTGAAGAATGAGGTGCGTTTGGCTCCAGCTCAGCTGCGTGATGTTTTTGGCACCGTGACGGCTACTTACCGCAAAGGTCCAAGCTGTGATGAAGTTGAGCCATTTTCCTCCACTTTTGGGAGTAGACGCGAGACTCGGCCTGCCCCTCGAAGAGCAGCTTCAGAATCTGAGGCGTTAGTGGCGTAGGGTGATTCTCTTGAGAAGCAGCCTGTTGCGGCTTCCGGCAAGGTGGCACCTCAGACCTCTGTTTCCAAAAGACAACCGCTGACGATTTTGCGGATAGTGTTCTCAAGTAAAGCCCACTTCTTCTACTCAGCATATTCTTCTCTTTTCTTTAAATATTAATAATGCTACTGTTGTGAAGGACGTTGTTGATCCATCTACTGAAGCCATTGATTTCAAGCTCCCTGATTAAATTATCATGGAGCTTCCAAGATTTCCACCGCGCCCTTTTGGGATTAGAGGGCGGCTACAAAGTGCCTCCACAGGTGGGCATGCTCAGGCATGGGGTACTCACAAGCAGGAGCAGCCTGTTACGAAGAGGGCCTGCACCCCTTCTGGCCTTGATCCTTTTGCCTCCCACTCTGCTAACACTAGGCTTCCTGGTGGGAATGCCAATAAAGGGAGTGATACTCAGAACTCTAGTGAACTTAATCATTACGTTCACCAAAATCTGAGTGATGTCTTTGAGAACGCGTTGTTTGCTACCTCGTTCTCTATTAGGGGTACATTTAGCCCTATTGGGCCCATTGAATTTTCTAATGTCCCCATTTATATCCATCTTCACCCTCTATTGTGTCCAGCTAAAGCTGAGAATGCTCCCTTACAACCTGGAATTAATGTGAGGGCCGATGAATCCTTATTCGTTGATGACCCCTAGAAGGGCGGTACCTTAGGGTATCATCTCACTCATGGGGTTCGTCTCCGAGAAGATCTACGCGTAGCTCATTCAGTCTTCCCGCTGCTACGGCTTGTGTTGACATGAATAAGGTTAGTTCTTGGTTTTAGCTTTCTCTCCTCTTATTCTGGTTTTTCTTCCTTCTTTTGCTTTCATATGTTTTTATTGATTCTTTTTCTGGCTTAATATTTTCTTTCTTTGCCTTTTCTGAAGCTTGTCAGATCTGTAGGAGGTTTGTCTAATGCCCTGCTTTTAGTGGACAAGGATTATCAGAATCAGGGCTTGATTCTTTCTCAGAAGGATTTGGAGGTTCAGCAGGCTCGTGTTGAGAAGGATTCTATAGTAAGCGAGTTGACTCCTCTGAGGGAAAGGGGGGACGCCTTGCAACTCTAGTTGGAAGAATTTCAGCTCACCTTGACCAAGCTGGTGAGTTGCGAGGAGCAGTTATCAGCCTCTCAAGCCAAGGTTCAGGCGTTGGAGACAAAGATCGCTGATTTGCGGGCATGACATATGAGGGAGGCTCTTAAGGCCTTCGCGCTCTCTCCTGCTTTTGCTAAGTTGTTGGATCATCGACATGACGATTGATGGGAGGCTGCAGACCGCTGCGTGAGCAGCTTGTATGGTGAAGGTGCATAGCAGCAAGCTCGCTTCAACACCTTTTAGGCTAAGGTGGAGGCTGCATGAGAGGCTGGCTTGTTTGAATTTCCTACTGGCCATCCCCGTGCTACCCATTGCAAGGTACTTGACCACGCGTGCTAAACTTAGAGGTTTCCCTCTGTCCTGACATTGTTGCGGCTATTAAGGTGGAGTCCTTGGCTGGTGGGCAATAAAGGTTATGGCGGGTGTCACCTTCCTACTCCATTGTTTCTTCTGAGTTTCCCTCCCCCAGATTAATAGTGAATAGGTAGCTTTTGTTGTTGTCTTTGGGGTGTATAGCCGCAAAAGATTATATTCTTATGCGTCTTTTCGGAATATTTTATCTTTAGTCGTTAGGCATGTCCAACGTGACCTGGATTTATGTTTCTCTGACTTAATTTGCTGAGTGTTTCCTTATCATGGTGGCGAGGGCTCAGTTTTGCATACCTTGTTACTAACTTGCAAGAAGTTTACTCTGCCCCGATGGGCAGGGGTTTAGTTGTGTTTCTATGTATTTGGTGATCTTATTAATATTTTACCTATTGATTATTTTGTACTCTACGTGCTTGTCTTGACCTTCTGCTTGGCCAAGGTGTAGAAGTACCTACACCTTAGCATACTAGCCTCTTTGTTTTGTTTAGCGAAGCCTCGTAGGTTGGGCCTCCCTGTTTTTCTTACTTGGCTGCCAAGGGCTCTCTTACTTTCTTGTTTTGTGATGTGCTTAGCTGGAACTTCGATGAGTTTTACTCTTCCTGCCCTGTTTGCATTGGATGCTTGTGCATTGTATACTCTACTTATTTTTCTTAGAGGCTTACTTGCATGTTGATTAGTTCATTCGATTGCTGCCTGTCTTGGCATTATCTAGTTTGCTCTCCTGAGACTTACTTGTGTCAATCAGCTTTTTGGCTATTCAATTTGTGTCATTCATCTTGTTTGTTGTGACTTGTTTATGTCGTTCAGCTTATTTATGTTGCGACTTGTTGTTTTGTGCCTCTTACTTCTCTTCGTAAGGGCTTATTATATATCAATCTCCTTCTCCTCTCCCCCTTAAAGAGGTGAGCTGGGTGGGTCTAAGAGAACCTTAGTGTTTCCTGCGCAGCTCATCTTCTTTGTTTTCACTGCCCTATTTTACTTTGAGCAGGTAAGGCGAGATTTTAGGGAGGGATAGTTTTTTTTTGCTTTTGTTTTTTATTTACTTCTGCATGTCAGTGTATGATGCTAAAGCATGATGTATCTAAACAAGTTTATGCAGTATACTCCTCACATAGAGGATTGTTTTTAATTGAATTAAAATGGCTCAAATGCCCTAATTGACATAAAATGAACTAAACTAAGTTCTTTCTAAAATTAAAACAATTATCCCCATTTCTACTTAATTTCTTGCATTTTAAACAAAATATTTCTTTAACACATCAGCATTGAAACTATTCCTTAAGACCCAACCTTCTTGATCTACGAGCAGGAATGCACCAGGTCCTACTTGCTCATGAATGATAAAGGAGGCCTTCCCAATTGGCTGACAACTTTCCATGTTGGTTTCCTCTTCCTACTGCCGTTGTCCTTCTGAGGACCAAATCTCCAGGTAGGAGCTCCCTGTGCTTGACCTTTTATTGAAAGCCTTGGAGATCTTGCTCTTTTAGGCTGCCATCTTGAGGGCTGCTTGTAGCCTTACTTTCGGCAGGAAGTCCAGCTCTTCCAACATGCGCTTTTCATTCCCTTGTGCTTTGTAGTGTTGTATCCTCAGGTTGGGGATTGAAACTTCCACTAGGAGTACTACATCAGCCCCGTAGGCTAGAGTGAAAGGGCTTTTACCAGTGGACTCTTTTTCAGTGGTTCTGTTTGCCCATAACACCTCTGGGACTAGGTCAGCCCATAGGCCCTTGTGCTCCTCCAACTTTCTTTGCAGGGCTGTTATGATCTGCTTGTTTGCTGCTTCAGCTTGACCGTTGCTCTGCGGGTTGCAGACTATGGCACTTGCATACTTGGTGCCCATGTCCTCCAGATAATGCTTGATTATGTCACAGTCAAATTGGCATCCATGGTCAAAGACTATGCATTGTGGCACCCCGAACCTTGTGATGATGTTCTTCCATGTGAACGTCCTCACTTGGTTGCCTTTATGTACTTGGTGGGTTTGGCCTCGTAAAATTGTCCACCGCCACTACTAGGTACTTTCTGCCCGCTAACCCATTGGTGAACGGTCCCAATATGTCCATTCCCCACTAAGCGAACGGGATCGGGCTAAGGATTGGAGTTAGAACATTTGTCGGCTGGTTTATGATTGGAGACTACATTTGACACTTGTCGCACTTCTTCACATATGCTAGCGCGTCTTGAGCCAGATTTGGCCATTATGCACCCCTTATTAAGGACTTCTACCCCCAATAGTTTTCCACAAATGAGGTTGGCACATATTCCTTAGTGTGCTTCTTTGATACTCTCCTATTCCTACTCAGGGACTCACCTTAGCATTGGATTTGAGAAACTTTTCTTGTTGAGTTCTCCGTTCATCACCATGTACCAGTTGGCGTCTGTAGGGAATATTTCAAGCATTACCCCAAACTTGAACCTCATTGTGATCATATACTAAAGTACGGTGTCGTCCAAAGGGAAGGAATCTAGAGCAAAAGAGTCGCCAACAAATATTAGGAACTTGTAAACCGTTCACGAGGTGAAGTTTACACCCCTTAACGATCCATGAGATCGTCAACTCTAATAGGTCTGGAACCATGACTGGTAATTCGGGGATCAAGGTACAAATCCAACCTAAAAGAGATTGAACATGCCCTAATAATAGGCCTGTACTTTATACTGACCGTATTCATGTGCGCTTTCTGACTAACATGCAATCAAAAGGTTTAACCCTTAACCTGTTTATATATGTTGGTTGAATATTAATGCATAAAAAAAACTATTATAGGTGACCACTTGAATTATAATCAAATTAACCTAAATAAGATTATTAATTATCTTATTAAGCGTGATTACAAATACCAATTCCCTTTAAGCATGCATAAAAGGTGTGATCAATCAATAACTATAAATATAATCAAGCAACATTAATAATAATCATAATAATAATCATAATAATTTTTAAGCATAAGAATAGCAAGATCCTAGGCATGATACTAACAAGATTAATAACAAACCCTAGCATGTCACTAAGCAATAAAGATCAAATATATAGCCTTAACATGATACTATTATGAATATTAGGAAAGAAAATAGGAAGCATTGCAAGAATCATAATAAGCATATTTGATATTATAACCTTTACCCTAAAAATGATACTAGGAATCATTGTGGTCATTCAAAACATCAAACATGATACAGGAATCAAAATAACAACCTAGACATGAATTCTATATCATAATATCAATAAAACAATTAAAGTACTAACTTGGATGCCTCGTACCTCTTTCTTTCACATTTAGGGTGAAGACAATTTCAAACTTGGATAGGTGTGTTTAGATCTAATGAATGCAGATTTTTGCATGCGAAGAGCTATTATAGAAAAGAGAAAGGGAGAGAGAATAATCAAGAGATTCTTGATGTGAGTTGGTGAGAATTAGAGAGTTGATGATAGAAAACAGAATTTTGAGACGCTATTTATAGGGAAAATCAGTCGGATGTGATAAAAAACGAATCAAATTTTTGAAAAAGAATAAAACAGGATCGCAGCGCCAAACACGCGCGTGGTGCTAAACGCTGGACTCTAGCGTCAGGCGTTGGAAAACAGTTTTTGCGGATTATGTTTTTATCATATATTTTTATCCGGAAGTCTAAAGAAGTCATATAATATGTCGTTGGAAATCTCTGTAAGTCTATTTTCCAACCCAATTAGAATAAGATTAAAATCGTTTGTAGATAAAAAAAAATATGGCCGAAATAGTGCAAGGGTGTTAGTTTTGGATAAAGTTTCATATCTCATTCATATCTTTTTCGTTATAGCTTGGATTTAATATTATAATATATCATTGGAAAGATAATTTCAAGATATATCCAACCATATAAAATTTGCATAAATATTATTAGGCACTAAAAAACTGAAAATATTCCACTTCGTACAAAACAAGGATTCTTAAAAGGAGTAGTTTTATTCAATTTCAAACTCTTTGAAACATAATTATCAATCCTAACTCCATTAGGATTTAAATTACCTTCTAGAGTACTCTAGAAGACTATAATCAATTCTAATAGCTTTAGGAATAATAATTAATAATAGGCCCTCCTCTAGCTCATTGTACAGCATGTAAGGATCAAACCAGGCCCAATTTAGTAATTTGGCCGTAACTTCCTCATTATTCATCGGAATTGGGCTTATAATATATCGTTGGAAAGATATTTTCGAAACCCACCTAACTAAACTATTATTATACCCTTTCCATAGAAAAAAAAATTGGAATGGCTGTTTTCTTTAAAATAGGTTTTCAAAAACAAAAAGAAAAGAAATAAAAACTAACCGCAACACTATACCTTCCACAGTTTCACTTCATTCGATTATGATTCGACGGAAAAGGTACTCATCACTGGGTTTGGTTTTGGAGAGACACAAATGGTCAAGGCCAAGGTAAAAAATGCCTGACCCTTTCTTAGATTGGTCTCAAAGGTTATTTTCTCCAGATGCTAACTTTAACTTGGTTATTTTCACAGGGGGGAGAGGTTAGAAAGACGTTTGAGAAAAATCTCAAACGGGCTAGAGAAGAAACCCCCTCCATTCTCAACAAAACCAAAAAATCCACCTCCGCCTTAACTCCTAGCGCCTCAGCCGGGAACCAACAGATGCGAATAGGGGGGCAGCCTGGGCCTCGACCTCGTCAACCCCTCATCAGCAATCGGGGGGTTCACCACGCCTGCAAGCGGCTTCCGCTTGGCCGGCTCTGAAGGTAAGACCCCTTTTAAATCCCCGGCTGAGTTGGGGTGGCCTTTACGAGTGAAATCCCACTCCCAACAGACGCCATCCCCAGACGGTCGACAACAGATAGGTGCTGCCTTAATTTTTCTCTCATCACCTATTGATTATGGTGCAGATCAATCTCCCCGCTTCCATACGTCCAGAAGCATGCCAAGGAAATGCTTGACGCCGTCCGCAAGAGGGACAAAGACAACATCCCTAGGATTGAGACGTTCAATCTGGAACGCATTCCATCCCTTCTGGCTGAGGTAAGAGAATCGACAATTTTATTTTTTCCAAGTGCTTTACCCCGCCAGCAATACTAATACCGCTTGCTTTTTTGTAGGCTATGCTGCGGGTGGACGGGCTCAAGCGTCCTTATTCCCTCAAACGGGAAGAGGTAAAAAGGGCCAAGAAGTCCGCCATAGACGCTGATAATGTTGCTTTATACTCTACTATCGTATATGATCTTAAAACTAAAGCAATGCTAATGACACAGGCGTCAAAAATCCAGCAGCTGGAGCCGGATCTCAAAACGGCCAACCAGCGGGTGAGCGACGCTGATACGACCGAGAAGAAGGCGGAGGAGGCCTAGAAAAAGGTGGATGAGAGCACCAAGAAGGCTGACGAGGCGCTCAAGAAGGCCCAGGCGGACCTTGGCACACTTCAAGGTGTTTTTGAAGAGAACACCAACCTGAAGACCAAGGTTGAGAGGCTGAAGAAGGAGGCTGCTCAGGCTCAGACGAAATTTGCAGCAACTTTGGAGGCGGAGCAAAACCGCCTGGTTGTTGAAAGTGATGCTGACAACGACGCCCGCATGAAGATCGCCTGGGCCGCCTTGTACCCAGACGTGGATTATAGTGTCTGGGCACTGGCTCATAGTTACGCCGAGTACGTGGTGTACTTGAGAGATAAAGGTGAGCCACAACCTCTGTCCTTTGAAGCCTGGGTCAACTCCAACAATGAGGCCCCCGCGCCTGAGCTACCTGGTCCGGGTGTAGCACAAGAGATCACCTTAGATGATGAGGAAGAGGACCAGGAGGCACCGCATGCAGGCCAGAAGTGACTTTTCAGCGGCAGTATGCCGATCTCTGTTTTTTTTTTTCTTTAATTCTGCGGCAGTATGCCAAAACTTGCTTTTCCGGCCTGCGTGCCGAGTATCTTTGTATTTACCGGCTGTGGAGCCGGGTTAATTAACAATTTCTCTTTTCTCCTGGACGGGGTCTGGTTAACATTTGATCCACTACAACCATTTGGTTGGGTGGACTTTTAAGGAATGCACCGACTGAGTCGGTTTTGATCATTTTGCGTTTGCGTTTGAATTTCAATTTTTGCAAATTACAATTTTTGTATTTTTTGCCTAACTTATCAAAAGCATGCAGCGATTTTTTGCCGAACTTATCAAAAGCCCGGCTGTCCTTGCCCTTGGACGGCTGTGTGATTGGTTTCAAATGGAGTAGGTTGATTGACTTAGGAACGTCTGATGCTGCAAAGAGCATGATACATTCGTAAGTCAATCAATCACAGTAGTGATTGCCCCAAACCAAGTGCACAGCCGTACACCAACAGGCGTTCTAGTTACTAAGCAGACGGAGTTTATCCGTCTTGGTAGACATTGCATAGCCATTGCACAATTCTTTTGTCCTAATTGGGGTGGAATGTACAACTTTGTAATAAATATCCTAAGTAAGAACTTCATCCGGTGACCGAATGATGCCCAAGGGCATCCGGTATTCGGTAACTTGATCGTTCTTCACAGATCTTTCTGGTCAGACGGCTATGAGTTGACCAATTCGGTCATTCTATTTTTACCGTCTACATAGATACGTAGAACCGACAAATATTCTGTTCTCTACGACGATTGCACCCGGAGGGGTGTCGCCGGACGCCTTTTTCCATGTTGGGACGGGCGATTTTATAAAATGAGAAACCATCCAACCATTTTAGCCTTTGGTCTTGTTTGTGACCGGTTGTATAGCCACTAAGCGTTTTTGTGCTTAATTTTTAATCGGAGCATTGGCCGAACGTTATTGAATTACACTAAGTGTCGAACTTAGTTAGTTAAAAAGTAAGCCCGTCTGGATCATTACCCAGGTGAA